CTGGTGCCGGCGCCGTGTGGTTCAGCCCCGGATCCGTCTGGGTCCCGGGGAGCCCCTGCTCCCCACCGAGGGCTGCCCCCGTAGCCGGCCACAGGGCTGTGGGCTCCCAGTCGCAGGGCGGTAACTCATCCACTCCCACTGGTGGCTGGGAGGGCTGGGGTGGCAGGAAGGACGCTGGGCTCCTTCATCTCTGGAGCTGGGGTTGCTGGAGCTGGTGGCTTGGGGAAGAGCTGGCTTCTCTGCCAGTGCCCGGACGCTGGGTCGCTCTGGTCCAGAGGCTGATGGGCGATGGGGTGGTGGTGCCATGTGTGGCTGGGCTGGGCTGGGCTGATGCACTGGTGCAGGGGCAGGTCCTGCACCACAGTCCAGGCTCTGCTGATCCAGCTGTGGGCCGGGCCCTGTCTCCCTGCAGGTGTGCAGTATTAACTCCCGCTTCGCCAAGGTGCACATCCTGTACGTTGGCTCCACGCCCCTCAAGTCAGCTTTCCGCGGCACCATCCGGTAGGCCCTGGCCTGGGTCAGGACTCCCCACCCCTTGCCCTGCCCCTTCCAAGGCAGCCGGCCCAGCTTGGCGGGTCTGGGGTCTCCATCTCTCCTTCCCCCCACACCCAGGCCCAGCCTCATGTGCACCCGGGGGCCTGCAGCGAGGTCCCACAGGCAAGCCCTGGCGGGCAGCGCTGCCAGTGCTCTAGGGGTGGAGCAGGCTGCACTCCCAGTGCTGAGCTCCCCGTCTCCCCTTACAGGAGAGAAGACATCCGAGCCACGGAGCGGGACAAGGTCAGTGGTGTCCTGCCTGTGCCGGCAGCGTATGACAACTGGCACCTGCTTGTACCAGCATCTCCCCCTCCTCTCACCGCAGCCACAGGGATGGCCGGGGGGAAAAGGGTGTCGCTGACCCAGAGGGTCCCAGCCATGGCTTGCATCCCTCTGGGGGGAGGTGGGGGCCGGTGAAGGGTGGAGGGTCTATTCCTGTAGAGGCCTGGACTGCCTGGGGCTGCTGTCAGGTCCTGGGGCTCAGCAGCCTCCCCCATGGCTCCTGGTACTCACCCCAGGAGCCGGGGGCCTCCCCCACCCCCTAACCAGCCCATGCTCTGCGGCAGGTGGAGGTTTACAAGAGTTTCCGCCCAGGGGACATCGTCCTGGCTAAGGTGGTATCCTGCCCTCACTGGGGTGTTCGAGGAGGCAACAGGGCCTGGTGGGACTTCCCTCTCCGGG